AAAGACGTTTAGCGAATCACTGCAGCAGACGCACAAGACACGCCCAGAAAACCTGGACATAAAAACAGTGAGTGAAAATAATTAGAGAGATTTTTAGTCTGCAGAATACGCAGTCGTTGCGTAGAGAAGAGAGAGCCTTTCTCTTGTATTTTACGGCTCTTCCCGAGTCGCTAGTAAGTTTTAGAGAGCCCCTTTCTCTCTTGTGTATTTTACGGCTCATCCCGAGTCGCTACTAAGCTCTGTCAAGAGCGGAAAAAGAAACTCTCAAGAAGCGTAGCCGGACTTTTTCTCCGCTATCTCTGTTTGAACTTTGTTTGAACTCAAGTGATTATCGTTTCCTATTGTAAACGGACTACTTTGCTAAGCAAACTACTTTGTTATGATAAGCAGTTGAACTTACCTTAAAATTCAATTTGTGAAATTTAACACTTACCTTTATTTTATTTACGCTACCCAAAATAAAAACCTGACTGTTCTAAAATCGCTACAACTGTTACACCACGAAGGCACGCTAGTGAAGTGGGAGAAATACCTTATATACTCCCCTTTTTAAAGGGCGACTAGTGTTTTAGGGGACCTAGTCGCCAAATCCTGGGTGCAGAGAATCATCATCCACAACCCTTTTAGTTCAGGCGTTACTTGTAGAGACATTAGGTTAATTTGAAGCAGAACAGATGAAAAAAATGCAATTGCCTTCGCCGGGAATCGAACCACGGACCTCTGGAATATCGGCCCAGCATGCTACCGTTACACCACGAAGGCACACTATGGAAGTGAGAGAAATACCTTATAATCTATGCAAATGTATTTCAAAAATGAAATAGTCCAAAAATAAATGAAAGCTGCTGCAAATACTGGAACATTGATTTTATTCATGAAATAAGTTCACATTTTAGTTACTATTTTCAATACCTGATTACACTATCCCATTGTAAAAATATGATACAAAATATAAAATACAGCCTATTAACATTTGCATTTTTGAGTACATTATAGTACTGTCAAAAGTCGTTAATCCGGACTCGTCGGGACTTCGGCAATTCCGGATTATCGATTTTTCCGGATTATACATTATCAGTTTACATCTCGTAAGATGGCATGCAGAAATTCTAAAATTAAAAATATGAAACCGTAATTTATGAAATAAAGAACAATTATGATCTAAAGGGTATCAAAATTTACAAAAAAAAAAAAAAAAAAAGCTTAATATTTATTTGTTTACTTTATTAAACATTTCTTTCAATGTAAGTTGTTTAAGTTGCTTCATTTTATGTGATAATACTTTCTCTTTAATTCTATAAACAGACATAATTTCTTGTTCAATTACAAAGCTCCGTTGTTCAAGTCCCGTAACTGCTGGGCCGAGAATACCGCCTACCTTGTCAATCAAAATTTTTTCGTTTTCACTAACCTCTCTGTCACCTTCCTCATGTCTTTATCCATTTTTTGCAGCAATTCCACTTTTTGTTTGATGGACATCGAAACATACTTTCGTTTTGTAGATCCTTTAGGAGCTCCATCATCGGAAATTCTATTTGACATAATCGAAAGTTCAAGTTTACTTTTATAAAATTGCTCTTACAGTCTGCAAAAAATAATAAGCCGCATCCAATTTGAAGATTAAGGAACAACGCGATCATCAACATTAACTGAAATAGATAATTAGATAATTTTAGCTTATACCCGTCCGTTATACATTAAACGTGCACGCGAAAACGTATTCTGCTCTTGCACACACGCATATGCGCAGTCGTAAAGGTCTTACACGCACGCATAAACGCCTATGCGCATGTGTCAACGCGGCGCATGCGCAGAAAGTTTTTAGCTTTGACGTCCGGATTATAGATAATTCCGGATTATGGGTGTCCGAAATTAACGACTTTTGACTGTACAATTAAAAGTGTAGCATTTTTGTGATACTAACAGCAGAATGCCATCTACTGGTAAAAATTTGGCTGAAATTTATTCTTATACTAAAAAATAATCCACCTCTAAATAATAATTAAAGTGCGATTTTCACCTAAAAATAATCAGGGTTCGTACACATTTCTGCACACGGAAATTAAGTACTTTTAAGTACTTTTAAGGACCATTAATGAAAAAAATTAAGGACCTATGAGCAAACGTGAACTGAATAAATTCAATTTAAGATATTATCTATGCCTGAATTTCACTTTTGTAATACCATCCTAAAAATAAAATAGATCCCTAAGTAGTACGCATTATAACTAAACACGAATTAATTAACATAATTGTTAATAAGTTTGAGAATAATATAAACTATTCAATTTATCAAGTAGCATTAAATATTTTACACTTATGATAGTTGGTCCTATTTGAATGTTTATATTGATTTCCTTCTCTTTTAAGCATCTTTTCTAACAATTAGAGATTTGTCTCAATATGCAAACCAATGCTCTCACTAGTTTCTGAATGCTTCATCTCCTAACTTATCAACCTCTCCATAATGTACCTATGAGGGTTTAATTGATCTGGTAAAAGTTAATTAGTCCAAAATGCCCGACAGACGTGAAGCATATTATCGCTATGTCTGAAATTAACTACAATATCAGACAAAGGTTTAAATAAGCCTCTTATTTAAAAAGAACTTAGAACATAAAGGCATGTTCTGATGCTAACAAAATCAATTGCAGCTCACGGTGACATAATTAAACAAGAACAGTCAAATTCAAACTAATAATGTGGACTAGTGGTCAAAGATATACAATTTAATTGTAATTTAATCTGGCTCAATAACTCTATCATATGTGGAAATAGAAATTGGAAATTATAGTAAAGGTTGAAATCATAAACAATTGGGTAATTTACATAATAATAACTGCACATATTTTTGAAGAATAATTTCCTTTATGTACTCAGTTCCTTTTTTCAACACGTTTCCTTTTCATTTTAGAATTTTTGGATTTAATTAAGGATTTCCGTTATTCTAAAAAACACTAAATGCATTTAGAATGTACAGAAAAAACGGCTAATTTTATTTCTTTAGTAATATGAATATTCAGAAGCAATATGAAATATATATAGTAAAGGATGGTTACAGAGCTGATGTGGCAGAATTTCTAGAATTTAGTGACACACGGAAACAAAATCTAGAAATGGCAAAACTTTTAGAATTTAGAGCAAGCACTGGAAGCAGAATTTAGAAAGGCAGTATGCGGCAGAATTTAGGATCCACAGAGATTGCATAAGGTGGGAAAATGCCTAGTGCCAGCTATGTGTATGATGCATTAAGAAATATTAGACGAATCTTTCAAACTGTAAATTTTCAATTTCTTTATTAATAAAAAAATCCCTTTCTATAATGCCTGCCTATGTGATAAGATCAGAAGCATTTTTGATATTTTCCATGCTTCTGTCTAGTGAAAAGTAAAGAAACTAAAGAGAAGATAAACATGTTAAGATTCTAGTATCAGAAGTAATACATTCAAATATTATGTTTTCATTGTTCTTCCAGATGTTCTCCCAAAATTAAGAAATTCATTGCAAACTTTCTGTAAAATACATCCACTACGTGTTGATAATATGGAGACATTTTTCATTTTGTCACATATTTCTCGAATCTTCTAGAATCGTGAGTCTATAAATCTTGCCTTCAAATCCTTTTAAACTTTCCAAGCTGCAATGTCTAAAATCCTACTGAAAAATTATCCATACCATTTCTGTAACAGAAAAAAAAGCCAGAAATATTTTGGAGAAAAGTAGGAGGGAAAAAGTATAAAATTAATTTTATGGAGAAAACTGATGCACATTCTGAGAAATTTGAATATTCTGAGACAATTACATGGGAAAAACTCTTACTTAAAATTAAAAAAACATTTTTAAAAACTAAAGACTTTTTTAATGCTTTTGCTAATAGCTGCTTTGCTAATTGCTAAGAGCTTTTTCGTTGTTATTTTGATTTTAAGTAATTATACCTTGTTTATTTTCAGATTTAAAATATTGTACAAGTTGCCAAAAAAAAACTTTATAATATGACAGTGGAAAATAAAAATGTTTTATTTTAATGTTATTTTTTTAAATATAATTTCAATATATTACCATTATTTTAATAAAATTTATCAATGTTACGATGTTTTAAAAAAAAAATTGTCGAAAAATTCTCAGATTTTGGAATTAAAAAGTTTCTATATAAACTAATCTTAAAATCGCCAAAATGTTGAAAAGTCGCCAAATTTAGAACCGTTTAATAAATGAATTCACATCCCCAAAAGCAAAAAGTTGTTTAAGAGCTAGCTTTTTACTAGAAAAAATGAATTTCGAAATGTTTATGTTTCATTTCTTGCTTACAAACTCGAGTATCCCATCATTTATATTATAAATAGAAACAAATTATAACTCATGAACCCATTCAAAAGATTACCATATATAAGGCAGTGAATCGCCAAAAATATTCCTCAAAATGCTAATTCACACTCAAAATGACAGTCGTAAAAACAGACGGAAATTTCAGATGATTAAAATTAAGGACCTTCTGTTGATTTTGGCCAAAATTAAGGACTTTTAAGGACCAAAAATCGATTCCAAAAAATCTAAGGACTTTTAAGGACTCTTAAGGACCGTACGAACCCTGATAATCCATTTTTAGGTACTAATCACCTTACTGAATCACTTTGCTCATTTTATATAATTTTTAAAAACCACTCAAATTTATGGGACACTCAGTTTATGAAAGCTTAAGTTTATGTTTCCCATGATTATCAAGACTCTGAATTCAAATAAACAACTCATTTAATTTTGTTTTATACTGGCTCTGTAGTTGAGAATAAATCTGAAGATAAAATCTGACAATGTAATATAAATTATGTACTTAATTCACTGGCATATTTTTATTTTAAAAAAAATTCTCATATGAGGAGCAAAAATTACAGTATTCTAAAAATAATTTTAGATACTGAATAGTGAATCATTTATTTAATATTTTCTACAAAATATTACAAAAAATACAACTTTAAAATTGAAATTTAGTTTAGAGTACTTACCATGATGTAACTTTGTATACTTTTCTTCAAAAAATTTGTCAATGATAATGGCTTTTACAATACAGTAATTAGTTAAATTCCTATAAATTTTAAAGAAAAATGTAATGATTTGTGCAAATCAAATTTATATATAATAAGCTACATTTTTGCAATTATTTTACACAATTATTTTATTATTATAAAATAATAAAATAGTACCATTCAGATAATATATAACTATTACTGATTAATATTACCTTTTAGAAAATACATCATTAATGGAATAATACTCAATTTCCTCATCTATATGATACCCCTTGAAAAAAAAAAAGAGAGAGAGAGAGAGAGAAATGCTAAAACATACATATAAATCTTAATACATCACATTCAAAATCACCTAAAATTATTTAAATAACTCTAAATGTGGTATTATTTTAAGTATTAAATATTTATGTAATTATTAAATGACATACATTACATAATGCACATAATAAAATTCAAATTCATTTGCTAATTACAATTCTTATTACTTTATAATTTAATTAAATAAAGCTGATATTCTGGTTAGTCCCAAACTTTTTTAAATAATTTATATTAAAATTACCTAAAAACAAGCTCTTTGTAAATTATGTAACATATAAAGGACCATCAGTGATAAAGCAACTAAAACTGTTACACGTAAGTTGACCTGAGTCTGAATGTTAGTTAATGGGTTGGCTGCATGAATGTTTTCATGACTTTTCCCATATTTAACATGAATATAAGCCATTTTTGCTTATTAAATCCTACAGAAAGGCTTTCCTACTCCGAAGTAGAAACCATTAAGTGTCCAAGCAGTAATATCACTGACTAGTAGTTCAAAGGTTCCAATTCCAGTGAACAGATTCATACCCTTCATGGCATTCAAAAGTAGTCAGCACTAAGCTTAACCATACAGTAGATTATTTCAACAAATTTATTGTTTATTTAAACTGAAAAGCATATTCATGATCGTTAACAGACTACTTATGATGTTAATCCTCCATATTAATTTTCAACAAATTTTAATGAGTCATTGTTTCAACAAGATTTTTATGCTTACCTTGCAAAACTCATGGATCACCTTAAAATTAGTGGATCCTTTAACTCTTAAATTGCACAGTTGAGATATTGCAGATCATTGTTTCTACTCAGATCATATTTCCTTTACAGAAATTCAGTTAAACTGATGCTTACTAGAGGGAACAACAAGCAAGCAAGGAACTCTTCATCATATTCCATAGATCATTTGAAAAAACCAAGCATTGCAGCATAAAATATTACTTAGCAGAATCAACATCTCCAGGTCTCAATGCACATGCTGATATTTAAGTAGATGGAATACATTAAAGTTCTCCACATACGGTATGACTGAATGAAGGTTTCTGAGCAAAACTGAATCATTATCCTTCCATCATCAGCTTGCTTTTATTGTGAAGCTACAGGATTCCATGATGCTAGTACGCTTACAGCTAACTGATATGTATTAATCAATTGATTCATCTGAAAATGAGATTTTGTGAAACAAACTTTCTCCCATGAAAAGAATCCATAGCTTTGATATTTATACTATCAACAATGAGGCATTATGAGCACTGATAGAAGGTTTATACAGGTATTCAAAATAGGACATGCTTACACAGTCCAGTGGTTTCAGTAAGATTTAATGTTCTACATATATCTTGAGACATTTCTTTAAACATCAAAATCACCAAGAAGTTCCTTCACAGTATCACTGCCAGCAGCTTCTACCAGAAAAGAATAGCTTTCATCAAGTTCTCACAATAAGCTGTAGTCAGTTCCTCCTTTCCATGAAATTCCACGTTTCTTCCTTCTAAGATCATTTTCTGAAGGTTCTAATCACAGCACCCCACAAATCTTAACATCTTGGAAGTGCTTACACTCGTCCATCAGTCTGTTTCAACAAAATTAGTCTTAAAATTACACAGAATTTGACTTCAAATGAACATAAATTCTGTTAAAAAAAAAAAAAAATAACTACACATTTTTGAAGGAATCTGATGCCCAGATTAAAGAATGTTGAATTTTTCTAAATTTTAAAGGGAAGGGGGTTAAGAAACATTTTTATTTATTCCACTTCCTGAACTTTGCATATAAGTGTGCTATTGTTTACTTAGTTGTTGTTGCTTGCATAAAGGCAAAATGATCGTAAACTAAGGCTTTTAGGTATACATGTACTTTGGGAATCATGAGATTTTGAAATTTCCATTTATTTCTTTTGACTGTAGCATTACCTACTTTTAAATCTAGTGAAACATAATCAAAACTAAATTACAAGTAGTATTGCATCAAAATACAGTTTTTTTCTATATGACTCAAGATAAAACAAATCGAAAGAAATATGTGACAAACAAAAAAGGAAAAAACGATGTGAATCAATAAATATTATATACAAAAATAAAAGATAAAGAATACTCCCAAAAGTAGACATATTTTATTCTTCCTTTTTTATTGAAAATGTTTTACAAATCCTCAGTGAGGGCAGAAAATGGTTTCAGTGGCACTATGATAAATTTCAAAACAGGAAATAGATTAGAACTACAGTTGTTTTATGCACATTTTACTATATCACTAAAAAAGATGCCAAATTTGAGAGATCAAAATATTTGGAACTGACAAAATTTCACATTTTTAGACTTAGCATAAGCCCACATTTTAACAGTGTGGTTATTTTATTGTTGCTTACATACCTGTGTAATAGTAACACAGAAGGCTTTAATTCCTTCACAGCAATAGACTCAATCTTATCTTCTCAATCTCCTGAAACTCCTTTTCTGTTTAAGGGTGAGTGGAGCTTTTCTAATTTTTAGGAAGTAAAATGCTAGAATATTTACCACTAGCCAACTTAGCAAAAAGGATTACTTTCCCTTGGCATATTTGTAATATTCTCAAAATGTGCAGTTTCATTTCTTACATGTTAAGAGTCAGCTAGTAAGGATCATGAGTTAGAAGATATGCTTAAACAGTTACAAAAAGAATAATTGCAATTCATTTCAGAACCAATGAGTTTTAAGATGATTGGGAAGACATTAGGTAAGATATTCACTCATGTGGTCTGGTAACAAGCCAAGTGTTAAAATGGATGAGCCTTAACAGCAGTAAAAAAATTAAAGATGTATGCAATTATACTGAACTGCTTGCAATTTACTGCTGAAAGAGAGAAGAAAATTACCATTTTTTTTTTTTTTTTCTTTTTTAACAGCTGTTATTTTGCTTCTGCTTCATTTGTCTTCCAACTAACATGATATTTTTTCACTTTTTATTGGCATTTATATTGTGAAATAACAGTTCTAGATAGTTAATGCAGTATACAATATTGATAGCACAGACAATTTGTAAACCTTGAAAATAATGTTATTCTTCTGCTTGAATTTAGGTTCTAAATGTTGCAGAAGAGCTTCTGTAACATGTCTAACATATACTATAGAACAGTCTTGGAGTACAGCCATTCTTGTGCTTGCTACTGAACTGCCCTCTTGGAACCAAACTGCATTAATCAACTGTCTTGCATCGATTCTGACAATCTTCATTGTTCCACAGCACTATCTGCCATGCATCTGTAAGACAGCTTGTTACATTGAAGGCTTCCACTGCCACAATATGCAAATGTACTAGCAATGATTCATAAAATACTATATGCCTGACTCCTAGATGCCTATGGATACAAACGCATGCTATACATGTGAACATGCATTCTGGCAAGCATTATCAACGTAACTTGTAATAAATACCATTAATATTTAAATTATAATAGTAGATTAATTAATTCATTATTCTATATAGATATCTGTGTAACAAATCTTTAATACCATGCAGGGAATCTATATAAAATATTAAAATTTGTTGCTTACAATATGCAATATATAACACACACACACACACACACACACACACACACACAAAAAAAAAAAAAAAAAAAAAAGGAATCTAAATACAAAATTTGTTTTTAAATTATAAAGTATCAAAACTTACCAGACATTCTGTATCATGGATAATTTGTTCAGATGAACTAATTTTAATAGAAATTACATCATGCATGTTGCTCTTGTAAACATTCGGTGCATGCACATCATTACCTCTACTACAATTACGCATAAAATTCATTTGATATATATGTCCAGGCATCAAGTATAAGCTATTTTTTGAAGTTTCAAAAGACAGTTTTGATAATTTTCGTTTATTTGTTATAAGCAAACTATCCATTTTGTTTACCAAATCAGCAAACTCAAAGTCATCATCTACGTCATAAAAATCCTGAAAATTATCTTCAGAACTTTTAGTTTCATATGCAAAAGAACTGCAACTATTACCAGATGGCATAAATAATGCAAAAAATTCACAACACATATCATAGTTGTAATTTACAGTCCATAACGCACTTAATATTAAAAAGCGCTGATAATTACTTTCAGCATTATCATATGATAATGATCTTTCATAAGTTTTTAGGGTCCTTTTGCCTGATATTTCATTTACTGAATCAATCGAATCTACTGCTTTGATAACGTTATAATTTGTTTTAAAGAGATAATTTGTGTACAAGGAGTTTATAGATGGTTCTATAGGATAAAAGTGATTACCAGATTTGAAGAAAGTAGCCAAAGGATACAGACGACAAGATTGAGTTTTTAAGTACTGATATTTTTTTAAAAGTCCATTTTTGCAAAATATTTCTTCAAATAATACATCAAATTTTTGAAATGCTGTTAGAAAAGCAATGTTCTTTTCACCAAAGCCACAAAGTATGTCTTTTGCTTCACGACACCTGACGCAACTTCCTGTGAATACAATTTGCATACAATAACTTTTATCAACAACATGAAAATTTCCATCTTCTGCAACATACAGCATCCCTATTAAAAGCTAAAACAAAAAGAAACAATAACTAATTAGACATAAAACAATAAATACACTGAATGTATATCAAATTTTCAAGATGAGAAAAATGCTACTAACAGATCCTGATATATTACAAACAGAACTTGTTCTCCAATTTTTGCTGTGTTCTTCCCAAGAGATTCTTAACGCAGCCTCATCTAAAATTTCAGATATGTATGGAATAACATATCCTGTGGACAAAGTATCCTATTTATATAAATAAACTTCTTAGAAAACTATATTTAAAGACAACCAATATTTTCATTTAGTCATTAATTACATATAGCTATAATAGCAGATTAAAGTACTACAACTAACCAAACTAAAACAATGTTTAATGAAAAAAATTAAACATTTTTCTGAGAAGCTAAAAAACAAAATTGAAATCTGAAAACTTTAGATTACAGTTTAGCACCTCAGAAAAGATTTTACTTAAAAATATTTTTAAAAAGAAAACAAAAATATGAAAGGGTTCAGATTTTAACGGTTATCCAAAAGGGTTTTTAAAGTTTTTCATGATCTCGGTGAGCTTACAGTCTACTAATCTGCTGTTACACTCACTCCTACAAATTCATTTTTAAATTTTTTTTTTTTTTTAAATTTTGACTTTATTATTAAGCACAATTTTCTTCACAGTTATGTCGTATACAATTTAACAGAAAAATTACAAAAAAATTTAAAAGCAGCTAGCAATATACATTGAGAATTCTCCATGCAACATCAAGTGTTGGCGCACATTTTTCATTTTTAGTCCAAAGGTATTTGAGTCCCGAAGAACCATTACTTTCGTTTTGGCATTTTGCATCAGACTCCTATAAATGTCGGTTAACTTTTCAAACTGTTGCCACAAAATGTTATAGTCCTGCATTATATTTGAAGAAATTAAATAATGAAAAATCTGCATAAATGTATGTATATTTCTCGCATTGTGATAAAACAATGCTATCTAGAGCTATCCAATTTTGAATGACATAATCTTACTGCAAATATGGGCATCTGAAATCCCAAATTTGAAATTTGGAATTTGTTTTATTATCGATTTCATATTTTGTAAAACTTTAACAGATTTTTGAGTAACTAAATGATTTAAGAGCGAGCAATGGCAACACTCTACAGCGGGGGAGGGGGGGGGAAACCTTTTTTATCTCCAGCACGTCGAACTGTGTGTCAGAAATTCTAAAGATATGCTCATTTTAAAATTATTATGGGACATTGCTATTAAACTAAATTTTATGGTTTAAGTGGAAAGAAGATGATATTTAATAAATAAAGATAACACAAAAAAAGTTAAAAACCGCCCCCTTTGGACGTAATTTAAAATCTGAAACATTTCAGATTCCGACCCCCCCCCTTTTTCAAATCTTTTCTCAGTTCATCATATGAATGTTCAATTTTCTTACAATGAGGGCTTTACAAACCTCTTTTTTTCTCTTTTTATTATTAATGTTTTGTGTGCTTACTTTATTTGTTAAATATCACATTCTCGGCACTTATGCAACATAACATTCAATTCAACAGCAAAATCACAAAATATTTACACAAACATACATTCATGAAGATTTTTCATTATTTAATTTCTTTAAATATAATACAGGGTGTTAAACGTAATTTAGCGCAGCAATTTGAAAAGCAATACAATGCATTTAAGTGCTTCAACAGAAAATGCAGTTTTGAGACAAATATCCCATTTGGGACAACCGTCCTTTTGGGGTTAAAAATAATTTTAAAATTAAAAACAGTGTAAAACATCATTAATATTTTAAAAAAAGGATTCTGTACCAGATATGTTACATAAAACGTTAAAGCTATCTGCAATATTTACAAAACTTTTCAGATAGTAATATCATAAATTAAATTTATTTCAATTTACATCACGTACATTATTGCAGAAAGTGGGGGAGGAGAGAAAGAGATTTAAATCATTAAAAAGTCCATTTATTGCTTTGAAACTTTTATCAGGAGCAGACTTATTATATTTGAAATACTGATTGAAGAGCTATTGTTTTATCTAACAGCGATTCTGAGGATAGGTCCTATGCTAGTTCCACATAATATAACATGCATATGCAAATGGTTCAATAATGCAACCAGAAGCTTATAAAAAGCATTAGAATTGAAATTTTGGATATAATAAAAGAATCTTCTCAACCTGGTTATATTTTCCATTTTTAATATCAAGTTTACTTTTAAAAGACAATGGAATGTAAACCCAAAGATGAATCAAAAGATGATCATTTTAGGAACATACTTAAAAAAAAAAAAAAGCTAAGATTTACGATATTTGCTTTCCTTGAAAAGAGAATACGAACATGTATGCATGAAATCCTAAATAATTTCAGTAACAAAATAAATTCACTTGCTCACTCAAAATATGCTATAAATATAAAGTATTTCTTAAAGTAGATTTTCATATTTGTGTAAGAACCAATTAATGCTAAACTGACCATACTGAAATTTTAAAAAGTGCAAACATTGTTTGTTTGCATTCAGAAATAGAGATAGGTTACAAGCATTTTCAAATTATTAGAACTCAACTACATTAATGGAATAACATGCAGTTCAAGGATAATATGCTTTGTAACCCAACGTTGACGAAAAATTCATAAAATATTTTTATAACTAGTTTCATAAACATTAGCCTGTGAATTGCTCCCAGTCAAATGTATGCAAGATCATTGCATTGGTTTTATTCCATTCTACTATACTGTAAAAATTTTATAGAAATTACTATATGTACAGCAAAAAAGAAAAAAAAATGTTTTACTTCAGAAAATGCAGAGCATTTATGTGGATGGCTACAAAATTCTTCTGCAAGACTCAGTCTTATAGATAACATGTCTGCCACTGGAGAACAAAAATATTCCAAAATATTGTAGCTATAAAATTAATGGAAAAAAAAGTAAAATACAGGTTAAAAAATTTTACATTGCATATGCAACCATGAAATACAAGGATTTTGATAAAGCACATAGTAATATGTGCTAATTACATTGATTACTTAGATTTTGAAGTTTGCATTTTAATTCAAGATAAATAAAACAACTGTATTTACAAATACATATCTAGAGCGTAAGTAAGATAATAGTCGAGCACTACAACATAAAAAACAATTTTTTTAAATATATTAAAAATAAGATGACTTTAAGATTTTCTAAAAGAATGTGAGTTTGAAAACATTCATATTTCATCCTTGAACATGAGTGACATAAAAACCAGTGTCATCTACGTTGAATCTCAAATGGTGATACATGGGATCACGGTTCAAAGCCTATCTTTGGGTCCTCCTATATTTTGAAAAATGGCCTGTTATAGGTAAAAAAAAATAGAAAGATGTTACACCCTTTCTTGCTGATGACATGTACTTAAGTACATAGATATATCTTCCAAATGTATTCTCGAAACTAAATTTCTGTCTATAAGGTAATTCTTTGGTATCAGTGCCAATAACAAAAACAACAACAAAACAAAAGGACTTTGAAAGGAAACTTGTTTTGTGGGTTAGTGTGTAAAACAGGGGAATTTTTCACCTCTTCCAACTTTAGAATCTTTTCAGTAGAAAATGATATCATTATTAAAAAGAATAACACAGTGGTATATATTTGCATCTCGAAACACTGAAATAATATTTGAAACACTTTTTTGAAGTGATAAATATAGCAAATTTTCACAGGTTCCTGACCTTTCCATTGCGATTTTAAAAATAATAAACTGTCTTTGAAAGAAAGAAATCAGTAAACTCTAATAACACTGGACATAAAGTGAAACTTTAAGCAGAATGTATTTCTAATTTCTGAGCCTCATTATCAGAGAAAAAAAGAATAAAGTTAACCATACAATGATAATAAAGTTAACAGTACAATGATTCTTAAAAATCATTATTCAGATTGCGTGTATGTATCTGTGTTACAAAGGGATTTTCACCACTAATGTAAATAAAAACAAAGTATCGAAATTGACTTGATGCATGTGTTGGTCTCAGACTTTAGCATATCAACATACATTTAAACATACAACAGATGTGCAAGAATTAGCAGGCTTATGCATCTCATTAATGTGAGCACCAATATTTATTAAACTTTTAGTTAATTTAGATTATCCAAACTTTAATAGCCTTAAATTATTAAAAACAAACATATCTTTTCTTAAATTAACCTAATATAGGGTTGTATGAAATTGAATCAACTGTATTTTAAAAATATATGTAGACTGTCAGTAACATGTTAAAAAATTGTTTTTGAAGAAGGCAAAAGTAAGGTGGTCCATATAATATTCTAATTTATTACAGCGGTTCCCCACTGGAAAAAAGTTTGAAAAACACTGTTTAGTATTTCACTGTTTTAGTATGTTTTACTATCTGTATTCTGTTAAAAGTCACCCATATTCTGCTAAAAGATACCCATATTCTGCTAAAAGTCAGATATAGACCTAAGTTACCCATATTACAGCATTTCTCCTCCTTCCTAGTCTTTCTTAAATTCTCTTCTTAAAAACAATCCATGTTTTGGTTTCATTTCACGCAAAGTGCTTGAATCAGCAAATACTTAAATAAGACAGAATTTCAGACATTTTGGCATTACATTTTGAAAACTCTGGAAAGATTGGTTTTATTGATAGGCAATAATTCAGTAGAAAAAAGGGCACTTTTTTTCAAGTACTTCCTTATTTTTATGGCTCTCATTTTTAAAACATTGCTAAGAATAGCAATAAATCAGTAAAGGGAGTACGTTACAGCAACATTCTATGAGATGAGATGAGTTGTGAGTAGGCCAGCAGTAAAGTTTTTTTTTTTTTTTTAATTTTATTTTTTTATGTTAACAACTGTTAACACTTGTTTTATGTTAACAATTATTGTTGCAAGAAAGAGGCATTTTACCCTCACATTCAGATATGTGAAAATGACCATGAAATGAAACTATATGTCACTGAAAATATTTGAAGGTGCAAAGAGAAAATTTGAAAGCAAAGAAAAAGCATTTGTTCCAACAACTCACTCAACAGTTTTGGAAAGCAATTTGTGACCAGTGCTACAATTAATTTGTTTTGAGCAGAGGAACTGATATTGATTAAGTGGCCAGAGAAGCAACTTGGCCTTTATGAACATAAGACTATTGATTGGGGCAGTTTATTGAAAGAGGTATATTTTCTACATCTAAATCAATGACCAAATGAGGGAACAGATGGCCCTGGAAAAACTGAGGTAAACAAAAATCTGTTTGTACAGAGAAGAAACAAATCTGGCTAGGTTCTTCCATAGTAATGGATGTTTGAGAAGGTTATATCAAGAAATCAGCGAATTCTTCCTCACACAGATTCCAAAACCAGGGGCATGAAATAAATCATTGACAATATATAAGAGGCATCAATGATTTATTCAGACTGTTAATAAGCACATAAAAGAAGTTGTTACATTATAATTCATAACTGCAGTGGTTCATTAAAAATGCACACAATGAAGACTCACAAGTTGACAGATGTTTTAAAAATCTACAATATAAAAAAATATGATTGAATGAATTTCAGAAGTTTAAAGAAATTACACTTACGGGAATGATGACAAAGATTTTAAATATTAAAAAAGAAATAAAGACAAAATGTAATTTATTGCATTACCAAAATAAAATAATTAAAGGAAAATAAAATTTACTGCATGGAAAATGTGAACAAAATACTAATTATTGCAGTAAAATAATTCAAATTTTCATTGTTTGCTTAAATAAAAAAATAACTTTTTATACCCCCACCCATATTTACTGATACCTTTGAAACTGAATTAAGAAAGTAATTACCTGAAAATTATCAAAATACAGTCTTCGTAACTCTGTAGAACTATTCTTGGCATTACTGACTGCAAAGTCACAACCTAAATCTCCTGAAACTAAACTGTCTTTTCAAAGCAGCAGAGCAGTAAAAGTAGCAGATGTTGTAATCCCCTAAGCATTACAAAATGACAACAGCTTTTATAACTCTTTAAGTCGGGTAACCAACGAAGGCCCTTCCAAGACCAATCAAGTTAAAATGTTGGGGAGGTACAGGAATTGTTCATTTTCTGTTTCTCTGATTTCTTATTTTGGACATTTGGTTTTTAATAATTAAGGAGAAAGTCACGGAGTTTTAAGGTAATTATTGGTCAGTTGAATTTACATCAAGTACGAAATCAATATATGTGTTTATTTAATTAATTAATTATGGCAAAGCACACTAGGGCTATCTGCCTAAGGGGAGGGATGCCTTCGTGGAGGACTTTCTAAGGGAAACTGGCTCGTATACACGTTACACATGGGGAAAACCACGAAAACACCCATGCAGCTAGCCCGTTCGCAGGAATCGAACCTCGGACCGAACTACCAGTGTTCAGCGACTTTACCGCTCGGCCGCTGGTGGGCGAAATCAATATATGAAAATTAAGAAAATATTTCTAATATATTTTTTAAAAATTTTTACTCATCTGAAGTTATTCAAATTGCGCTATGTTTGGATTTACCTTGCCAACATGGTGGAAGGTGCCCATATTATATCAAACAATGAAAGAAATCAATCCAAATATTAAAATTTCTACCTTGGAAACCAAACATTGGCAGATCAATTAATAAATGAGATATTCAGTAAAAAATCATCTTCTTCATGATTTATTTGATTATGGCAAAGCATGAAAGGGCTATCAAAGATTTTATAAGGGAAACTGGTGTGTATCCATATTACACAGAGGGAAAACCATGAAATCGTCCATGAAACCAGCTTGTTCACCAGGAATTGAGCCCAGGTCGAACTACCAGCATTCAGCGATTTTACTGTTTAGCCACAGGCTGAACAGTAAAACCATCTTCTTCAAATGGTTCACTTGTAAAACCATCACTGTTCACTAGTAAAACCATCTTACTCTTCACTAGTAAAACCATCTTCCTCAAATGGTTTTACTTATTCCCCTCCCTTAATGCACTCACTAGAATTGTTTAAAATAATGTCAAAATAAAATCTCAATAACTTACAAGAACTCTGTAGTATACAAGAAGGAGCTGTCCCCTGCAACAATATCTACTGAGAATTTTGAATTTAATCTTGAAAACAATTCTTCAAGCCACAATATGTCATAAATACTCAGATTACATCTGGGTGGATATTTTAAATCACTAATTAGGCCTTCTTTTTTCTCCTATAGAAATATAAATAAATTCATTGAGAACATGAATAAGTAAAATGTTAATACAGTCAAAAGTCTTTAATCCAGACTCGTCGGGACTTCGGCGATTCCGGATTATCGATCATCAGTTTAAATCTGGTAAGATGGCATGCAGAAATTATAAAATTAAAAATATGAAATTGTAATTTATAAAATAATGAGCAATTATGATCTAAAGGGTATCAAAATTTACAAAAAAAAAAAAAGAAGCTTAATATTTATTTGTTTACTTTATTAAACGTTTCTTTCAATGCGCGCATGCGTACCTTACGCATTAAATTAGAAAATTGCAACCAGAAAACTATTTGATTTGTATTCGTGATATTTATAATGACGAGGAATTTGATTTAAATCATATCAAAGACGGAGTACATCGAGATTAAATACTACATTTAGTAAGGAATTATAAGCCGAATAAAATAAAAACATCTGCTCTGAAGTGACAGATCAACTTCCAGTTCATTGCGCGCCGCGATGTCCCCCCCCCCAGCGCAGAGCAGTGTGAAATTGATAAACAGATTTCGGAATGGTTAGATAAACAAAGGATATGCCTTTATCCATTTTTTGCAGCAATTCACTTTTTGTTTGATGGACATCAAAATCATACTTTTGCTTTTCTAGATCCTTTGGGAGCTCCAGAATCGGAAATTCTTTTTGACATAATCGAAAAGTTCAAGCTTACTTTTATAAAATTGCTCCTACAGTCTGCAAAAAATAATAAGCCGGATCCAATTCGAAGATTAAGGAACAATGCAATCATCAACATTAACTGAAATAGATAATTAGATAATTTTAGCTTATACCGTCTGTACACTAAACGCACACGCGAAAACGTATTTTGCGCTTGAGCAGACGCATATGCGCAGTCGTAAATGTCTTGTGCGCACGCGTAAAACGCCTATGAGCATGCGTCAACGCGGCGCATGCGCAGAAAGATTTTAGCTTTGAGGTCCGGATTATGGGTGCCCGAATTAACGACTTTTGACTGTAATCATCAAAGAAATAAAAAAAATATGTCCTTCAAAAAAGATTAATTCACTAAAATTAAACATTAGGGGAGAAAAAAATGGTACTCACATATTAGCTCATTCACGCTGATGCAGTTTGTGATTTTTTACAAAAGGGAAAAAAAAAAAAAAAATTATGATTTCTAATTGTAAAAAATTACTTCTTGTATACATACTTTACAATCAAGAATGTATCCTGAAAATCAATTAATATATTTACTCTGAAATGGGTTTTTATTTTTTATGTTCTGATAGAAATATAATGGAAATTATTTTAAGAACAGATTTAAAACAAGTTTGAAACAAAATACTGTAACTCTATAGAAATTTTACTACAGTTTCTTCCACTGCAAACAAATCTCCCAATTATACATTTTAAAACTGAATTCAAGAAAAATGTCACAATTTGTTCACATAAACTATTGGCACTTAGAATGCAACAAAAAAAAAAAAAATGCATTAAAAAATTTTAAAATGACGATGTTGTTTGTTTTACAATGTACACTGCGCAAAAAAAAAAAAGAGAGGGACAGTTCTATATTTTTTGTTCTACTTGGCCGATTGACAAAATTCCACTTACATTTTTCATGGCACGAAAGCGCGATTTAGGATATGTATTAGATATACGTATTTTGACACAAAATCAGACTTGTTCTAATATACGTATTTTGACACAAAATCGGACTTTTTCTGACATGACATGTCTATTGTTTTCCATATTTCGATTCTATGACTCAAATTATGCCCAACTGCCAAGTTTTGTAAAAATCGCCCAAATAGTTTTTAAAAATTAGCTTTCAAAATTTTAGCTCCTCAATGTTAATTGAATTTGATATATATTTATTAATATCTCATTTTTCTTTTTAAACTTACTTGTTTTCTTCTTCCAGAATTCAAAATTTAGGATTAATGCAAATATAACTCGCATTTTTTTTTATTTTAACCTCATTTTAAAGTAGATGTATTTCTAGGCACACCTACAAAAATTTAGAGTTTTTTATTCACAATTTTCTAAGATATACATGAATTTACATATTGGCGTGCTTTGAAATTTCGCATATAAATTATAAGCGATAATAACGCCAAACAAGGTTTAAGCACATTGTTAAAACTATTCGAAAGTATGAATGAAGACTTTTTTCCTGCTCGTGTACAATGACAGAGAGGGAAAAGAAAATAGGTTCAAACTTCAAAAAATGCAGCCAGATAAATTTTTCAATTTCTCCAAAAGTTTCGCACCAAATTTTATAAAATTTAATACTTAGGCATAATTTGAGTTGTAGAATCGAAATTTAGAAAAAAATTGGCATGTCATTTAAAAAAGTCCGATTTCGTGTCAAAATACCTATATTAGAACAGTGTTATATATAATTTTAATACATATCCTAAGCCGCACTTTCGAGACATGAAAAAAGCAATTTGAATTTCCTCCATTGGCCCTGTAGAATGGGAGATATTGAACAATCTCGCCGCCTTTTTTGTTGTTGTTGTCGTTATGCAGTGTATATGGTTGCCTGAAGAACTACTTTGCACATGGTTTCTAGAGAAGTTTTGCAACTTCTATTAAAGTGGTTGCACTAATACGTAAGTACAATGTAAGCTTTCAATAAAGAACTTTCTAAAATTCTAATGCTAAGGTAGAAGAAAACGAAAATTACTGAAAGGTCTTGAAAATTCATTTTCTTGATGGATGAAAGTCCACAGCATACAAGTATCTTTTCATCCTAGACATTACAGTAAAAATTAAAATGACTTTTCATACAATAAAAACAACACCCTAATAAGAAAACAAGAAACATTTAATGATATTATAAAAAGTTATGGAATCTATAAGAAATTATTACATTTTCTAAAAAAATATATCTAAGAAAAAAATTAGATGGTTTATGACATCAGTTTTATATATATAGATATACAATAAAAGCAATTTGCCAACATTTAAAGGAAGAATTAATAATTAAATAAAAATAGTATTTACCGAAATGAATTAACAGAATACAATCAGATGCTATGGCATCTATGAAACTACCCTTACGTGAGGTGATTCACTACCAGTGTGACAAACTTGCAGGAGGTGTAAGGGCACAAAGATGATTCAAAATCACATAGCATAGCAGAGCCTAAAATGCCTTCTATACGAGCTACAGTTAAAAGAAACAAAGAAAAAGAACAGCAACACTTTAGAGTAAAAGAAATCATTTTAATTACATGTTTTACATTGGTGGTGTGCACAAGTTTTACAGAAGGAGTTCGAAATTCCAACTAGCAGCAGTTACACAGGCTTCACAGCGATGCCACATGGAATTCCTAACTTTCTGGAAGATCCCTGGTGTGCTTCGGATGTCCCTCGCAGCTACAGAGATGCAAATGACGAAGTTTTCAATTGAATCAATGGAAGTCTTGTACACTAATGCCTTCATGTGACAGCAGATAAAAAAGGCCAGGAATTATAAATCCAGTGATATATTAGGCAAATGACTGGATCATCAAGAACTATCCAATGCTGTCCAAATATAAATATAGGCATTGGTAAATATAACATCACTGGTGAAATGCGGGAGAGCCTCGTCATGCTGGAACCACACTGAGTGGTGTAATAACTGAGGAATATGCACTTCTTCAATAGATTTGGCAAGACTTGTTGTAGGAAGATCAATTATGCCCTGTCATCCAGATGAGAGGACAAAAGGTAAGGTCCAAGGAGGTGGTCTCCAACAATGCCTGCTCAAACACTGATAAAGAAATGCCAATCAGCCATGTATCATGGGGGGGGGGGTTCAAAAGTTCACAAATCGGTATTATGTTGACTGAAAGCTCCTTCTCTTGTGAAAATTGCCTTATCCATGAACAATATGGATGTTGTAAATGTGCTGCTTGTCGCACTCTGCTGAAGATATCAGTAGCAAAATTTCCTCTGGAGTGGATATGCAGTCTCTGATGTTGTATTTGGTTTGCAGACAATATTCTCTATACCAGGGTTTCTTAAACTGCAGGTCACCAAAAATTTTAGCAGTTTTAATATTTAACTTATTATAATAATTTTACAATTACCAAATATTTTTATGCAATGTAACTGAAAATAGATAAAGATAAGACAATACAGACAAAGAAAAAAACGAAAAACGTTTCGACACATTCTTTTTATAATATAAATGTTCACTTTACTTATTTTGCACATGACGCTGTCATTTCGTCTGTTATTTACTTAAAATTTTCACATTGTTCTATGTCTGTAATTAGAAATGATCTAAAACTGCTATAGTATATTACAGTACAAGTGAAAAATTGACAGTTTCACACACATGTATGTCGGATTTGCGCAATACTTATGGGGTTCCACAATTTTTTAAAAAATATTATAGGGTCCTGGAGGTCGCGAAAAAATCTCAGTGATAAAAAGGAGTCATGAGACTGAAAGAAGTTTAAGAAACTCTGCTCTATGCAATGGGTTGGGACAAACCTGCCTATCACATTAGTATTCGTACTCAAACTGTCTTTGACCAGACATAGGACTTTTTCCTAATTTTCTAGCTTTCTCATCATTTGCTCTCAATTCATGGCAGCTCTTGTGAAAGAACTAGTTTCATGTAGCTTTCTGTGCACACATACTAAGATCATATGATGAGGAGCATGCTTGTGTGGGAAACATTTCTGGTACAAACACAGAGCAGCATGTCCTTTACTGTCAGCAAGTCCATATGCAAGGTCTGTGTCAGCCAGTTCAACATTTGAATAGTCACCCATCCTACTGCCTCGGGAACTAGTTTGCAAATGCAGACTTCCAAAAGGGTCACTGTTCAAACAACCTCCCATTCAACACCCTTTACCGCAAAGTTTATCACACTGGTAATGAATCAGCCTGTATATTATTTCAATTCTAATTGAAATTAAAATTTTGAACAGTCCAATAAAATCATACAGGAAATTTTGAATTTGATTTAAAAGAAGATCTTTCATAATTTTCAATGAAAATTTAATGATTTGTAAATGATATGGCTTTAATGAGGATTTTTATGGTGAGATTATTCCCATTAAAGTATTTAGAATCAATTAACATGAAAAAAAAATTAATGGCTTCTCCAAATAAAAACTGCCCAAACTAAAAAAATATGGAAGAATAATATGCAAGTCAGAAATTAATCTTTAAAATAGGTTTCATACATTCTTTTTAAGTTAAATATTGGCTTCCCTATTAATATCAATCTTAGGGTTTCTGAACAAACAAATCTTCTCAGCCTTAAACATCAGCTTCATATAATCATTATTTTGAAAATACAGAAGATGCCACTTAATGTGATTGCAGTTAATTTTATTATTCGGATATTGCTATCGATTTGCCAAAGTCCTACTTGTGTGTATATGAAAATATGGAAAATACATGGCAGTCAACAATTTGTTAATATGATCAAACTATTAGAGATTAAACTCAAGGAAAGTCACTAAACAAAAAATGAATTCACAAAAAAGATCACAATAGATTATAAAAATTGCCTAGTGACATAGATGAGTCATCAAGTAAGGAGTTAAGTAACCAAACAGCCTTGCTTGGGTTTCAGTCAACAATTTAAAATTAAGAAAAAAGGTAGCCTCAATATGATGTAAATTTGGAATAAATCTGTTGATTTTGAGGGCAATCAGGCACAAATCTTTCTTTTTCAATTAAAATTTTTTCTTAAAAAAAATTTCCTAAAAACATTTATGACAAAGATTGCTTATTTGCTTTAAAATTTTACATTGGAATGTTGTCTTCTGACGAGGGATGCCACCCAAATATTAAGATTAGGGCACAGCATGATAATATTAAGATTAAGATTAGGGCATTAATTTCCAGAAACGTTATGAACAGTTCATAAATGAACTTTTGCATTAAAGGCATTATGAACAGTTCATAAATGAACTTTTGCATTAAAGGCATTATGAACAGTTCATAAATTTCTGCATTTTCCTAATTAAAATGCTGTGAAAATACCTCTTTATATGTTTCTTGATATTTTTATTAAATTAATTAAACCTCAATGCTATTTTAAAAGATATTTTTTCTCATCATATAATGTAAAAAGAGTCATGGGCAAAGTTGATCACACTAAGTGGAACATACTGTACTCACCAATTCAACAGAAAATGAAAAACAGCTGATTTAGATTCCTTAAGTAGATATAACTGAATACACGATAGAAGCATTTATGAGAATACAGTAAAGAAGTCCTTCAAGTAAACAGGTATTAAATGTAACTTGTCTGATGTTGAAAGTTCAATGAAAAAATTGAAATCTAGATAAAACACATCAAGATAATAATTAGATTTAATTAAATCAGCATACGCTTTAGAGTTCAAATAAAGATGAATACAGATATTTCAATAGGATATTTTTACATCAGAAAGAATTTTTTGAAATGCATATCAATTTTAAAAAAGACGGAAAAAGTCTGCTGGAGAAAGAAATGAAGAAATTCCAGCTGTTCACTTAAATGAAGTTATAAATCATTATAATTATTAACACATTAAATTGAATTACAGTAAGCAAGTTTAAGCAAAATATGGGAAATAATGCTTATCAGATAATTGATTATGGAATGAGATTTAAACAGTTTCAGGAAAGGAATAGAATATCAAAATAGATAATAATAAAATCATTAAGACAGATTTCTGTGGATGGATATTTTATTATAAAGTAAATGCAATGGTGGTTCATAAACAAAATTGCAAATGTAAGATTTTGCAGCTGTCTTCCTTGATTTACATATGTTATATATTTGTGTGTTTTAAAACTATATTTCCTATTATTAAAAAAATGAAGTTCTAGCTTTTTCTAAACTCGTCTAACACCAATATGCACTGATTTGCTCATTTTTTTAAATTAAACTATGATATCATTAACTAAATTAGGAAAGCTTACAAAAGCCAGCCTCAAACAGGATACAATTTAACTGTTCTTTATGCCAATTGCATCAACAGAAGACATAACTCTGTTATGTTAGGAAAATTTAATTGTACTTATTTATTTATCACAAATATACTTGTTAGCAAAAATTCAAACTGAAAAAACATATCTTAAAAGAAATGCACCATAATAAACAAACCTTGGATATGGAAAGTAGATGAATATTTGAAACAAGCACTTGAGCTCCTACACTAAGAGAGTTTAAAGAAGAGCGAAATGCATTTAAGGTAGCATAGAGTTTTATTTTATTGTCCAGTTCATAGATTCCAAAACCTGGCACTTTCACATCAGTAATAGTTCCCTAAAATAAAATTTAATATATACATATATATATATATATACACACACACATAAGGTTAAGAATAAATAAAAAATAGAAAAATAATTAATTCCTGTGCCTCAGCTGTAAAGGACTGAATTTTTAAGAAATTGTTACAAGAAAGATTTAAAACAATATTTTTATTAAAAAGATTATTCTATTCTAGGAAAAAATGCTTATGGCAGCAATTCTCAGATGGTGGTATGCATACCACTGCTAATGCACAAGAGAAAAATATGTGGTATGCAAAGAAACAAAGTATTTTTAACTATTAAATTCAAAAATTTAATACCACAACATCCTATTTCAGTTTTTTTCTCTAATACTCGTAAATTTAAGAAATCTGAGCTTTGTTCAAGGTCAATAGCCGTTCTTTAGCAAAATAATCTAATTTTACAAATAATCTTTTAACCATAGACATAAAAAAACTTGTCATAAACGACGTTTTTAAAAGGAGTAATAGAAATGGATGCTGTATTTAATAGGAAACAAGTTCCTATAAAAATAACAGTTATCTCATTAATTCCTTTAGAATTGATCGATTTATGAACATGTGTACCCTTTATGCTGCCACCATTTTTGGGCTCATATTGTTCTATTTTTAATTAGAATAACTTTTTTATGTCGATTTGCTGTCTCTAACAGCAGGTATTTTGTCTTGTTACTCCTTTGTATTCCTTAATTTTCTATGCAATTTTAGAATAATGTTGTTTGTTTTTGAAGAACTCGTAATATACTGTGCATTTAAAAATTCGTAAAAAATAATAAAACAAACCTAGATTTTCAAAATGGAAAAAATGGCTAGGATTGACTAAGTGGAAAAGTGATGATTCACAGGTGATGGATCCAGGACAATCTACTAGCACTAGGAATATTGAAAAACACAGAAAAATTGCTTAGAGAAACTTTTAATGAAAGTTATTTATCATTTGGGTTTACTTGGAACGGAAATGAAATGGACCTTCAAACTCAATGTGCTATTTGCAGTGAACTATTATCCAATCAAAGTACGAAACCACCCTTTCTAATTCTGAATCTAAGCACATGAATTTAAAGGCTAAATCTGAAGAAAATTTTAAGAGGAAATTATTAGAGTTTAAAAATAGTAAACAAGTAATGAAAATGTTTGTTTCTTCAAGTGAAAAAGCTTTGGAAGCTAGTTACCTAGTAAACAAAATAATTTCCAAAACTGAGCAGGCTCACATTATTGGAGAAAACCTTGTATTACCAGCAGCTAAAGATATCGTTTTAACATTATTCAATGAAAAAGCAGCTAATGAACTTAATAACATTCCATTCTCAAATGATACTTTAGGTCGCCGAATTAAAAAAATGGAAAATTCCATAAAAGAGACATAAAAAAAAAAAAAAAAAAAAAAAAAAAAAAAAAAAAAAAACACAGTGAGTATTTCGCATTGCAATTGGATGAAAGTACTGATATAATGAACTTTATTCAGTTATTAGTTTACATACGTTTCAAAGAAAATAAACGAATTGCCAAAAAGTATTTATTTTGCAACTCTCTTCATGATAGAGCAACTGCAAATGAAATTTTCAAAGTAATTGAGAATTTTATGTCTGAGAATTATAATTCCTTGGAATAAGTGCATTGCCATATGTAGTGACAGAGCTCAGGATTTAAAAGGAAAACATTCCGGTGTTATTTCTCAAATCAAGAAAGTTGCACCTGAAACTAAATTTACTCTGTTGTATTCATTGCGAAGCTTTAGTAGCCAAAACAATCCCTGAAAACCTGAAAATCATTTTGAATTGAGCTGTAAAAATTGTTTATTTTCTTAAAAATTAAATTTTAAATTCAAGAATATTTATGATTTTATGAAAAGAGATGGGCAGTGAACATGAAACAAAGAACAATCATTTTGATATTATGAATCAAAATTAAAGCTGATCTCTTATTATTTTTGAAATTTTTTATTACTTATTAAAAGTGGATATACCAATCTTATTAAAATATATAATATATTATAGATTATTCATATTTTTATCTTTCAGACCAGCTTTTCAAGGGGTTATAATTTGAAGCATAAAAATCTGAATAATCCAAGAGAACTGCATCATATTTATTTCTGCATGACCTTTTGAGCATTTAAAGATAAAAATAAAATACGTAATTAATACAAATAAAATACATGTGTTTTTACTAGATTTTCTATTCAATTACATTTTGTATTTTTATGGAAATTGAATTTTTTAAATTACATTTAAAGATTTATTTGTGTGAGGCTATCGTTTTGGGGTAATTGCATGAGTTATTTGAGTATGGGGTGTAAGTAATGTATGTATTTTTTATTTTAATTTAATTTTTTTTAATCCATCCAGAAATATATTAAAAAATACTACATTATGTATAATTTAGGTCTGCTCCTTGAAGAAGAGCTGCAGTTTTAACAAAATCATATTATTTCTTTCATTTAATATTAATTAAATGGATTTTCATTATGTTCTTTGCCTTTTGAAGGCCTGCTACGCATGAAGGATATGAAAAATTCTTAAAAATTTGAATATTCTGTCTCATTTTTGGAGACGACATTTGGCACAAAATGAGTAGACTTTAGTTTCCAGATTTCTTCTATCTTCTTTCTGTTTTATACACACATATATACATAGGGAGTCTCGAAATTAATAAAGGATTTTTTTTTCCTGTAGGGTTGGCAAAGCTCTCTGAAGCATATTTTGTACTAATCACACTCAGGTTAGTGGTGAATTAATTGTGACAGAGAAATATATGAGGCAAGAGCACACAATTATTGCGAAAACACATTACAAATTACTGAAACTGTCAATGGTGTATTCTATTTCAAGATAACAACAGCATTTTTGTGGCCTCAGTTGCAAACCACCTGCTTTGGCGCTGATAAGACATTCTTCCAGAAAGATAGTGTCACATACTATGTGATTCACAAAACCATTATGTTGTTAGAGCAGAAATTTCACAAGTAGCTTATTTTGGACAACAATGATCACAACTGGCCATCAAGTTCATGCAATTTTATATCATGTGACTTTAATAAGCAGGGATTTGTAAAGCCTAGTACTTACTAAGCTATTAAACTCAAAGAAATCCTTACTTAAACTTTCTGAAAAACTTAAAGAAGAAATCCAATGTGCTAAGGTTGCGAGAAAGTCATATGATATGTGGAAGACATTTTCCAGATATAATTTTTCATACTTAACTGGAGTCGTTACTCTTTTAAAGCATGCCACATTTTTGCCAATTTATGTATAAATAAAGGTTTATCTTGTAAATTTAAATCTTGCATTACCTTTGGGGCACCCTATACATGCACAAAAGTCAATGACTGCCAAAATTTACAATAAATGAAACTTAAAGTTCCTACATTTAATAAAATAGCAATATTTTAAATGCAACACATTAATATAATAACTTAAAAATATTTTAATGTATTATTTTAGTAAGGATTAGAAACTAAGAAAAACTCATCTTTTCTTACATTTAACAAAAGAGAGAGACAGAAAGAGATAAGAAACAATTCTAAAAACAAGAAATTTTAAAATAATTATTAAAAGTAATGTTACTGACATGCAATTTGCTCTGCACAATTATTTCTAAAATGTGCAAAACATGCTTATTTTAAGAAATTTGGGTTTTTTATAAAGATATGAAAATGCTGTATTAACATCTTCCATGAATTGAAATCTGAAAAAAATAAAACTCAATCTACAAAAGGACTCACTGAACTTTTAAAACCTAATTAATATACCTCATGTTATTTGCAAAATAAAAAGTGTTATTCTTCCCCATATAACATTTTTAACACTAAAGGAAATGATTCAAAGGAAACCAATGATAGACTTACATAAATTTCTTAAGGTTTCAAACAGCTGGAGAAGACAGTTCAGTTTGAATTGCTACAAGATTTTCAATAAAATAATATCTACACCAATTACCACTGCATTTTTTTCATCAGTTTTATTTAACATGTTATTTTTATCCACTACGGAAATTCTTATAATGTTTTTTACTCTGAAAGGACTTCCATATAAAAATACTGTATAGAGTTAAGAATGCATCAGACTGAACATTAAATTTGCAATTATAATAATTCAACAATCTTTAGCAATGCTATTTTGAGAAAGTACTTTTTTCTACAGGTCTACTTTCTTTACACAAAATATTAGCTAATGTTTTAATGCATTTCTTTCTTTCTGCAACTGATTAGCATAATTTTTAACCATCATTATTTTTTTTTTATCTTGAACTGCTTTTTAAATCAAATGATTAATAAAATCAGTTCAAGATAAGAAAGATCATACCCAGCTAGCAGCACAATTAGTTTTTTTTACAAACTGAATTATTCATCTCTGCAGTTAGATCACCAATCACATAAAAACATATTAACTCACCTGCCAATATGAGCAAATGCCTACTCGAAAAATTTTCTAAAAGATTAAGTAAAGAAAATTCAAAAGAAAACAGGCTCATTTATAGCATCATATAGAAGGATGTTCTCATTCAATTGCTGAAAAGAGAACCTGTTGAAAATTATGCTCGGCCAGTAAGCAAAAAAAAAAAAAAAAAAAAAAAATTGCATCTCTCAACCAGATACTTATAATGCATTTTATATATTTAAGTAACTCAATCCATTTCCAGTCTTACAGCATAGTACAGATAGTTAGAAATGTTCATGCGGTTTTTTTTTTTATTAATTAGTTTACAGCATGATAAAATTTTGAATGATAAAAAATTTAATTAAAATGTTGCATACATTGCTTAATTAAAAGTTAATCTGAAAAATAGTTGATGTGGACACCACATAACTTCCTCATATGGTCTATTAAATTATACATATTTTGGTGCATTTCATTTAAATTTATTTCTTTGAATTTCATTATAGATATGTTTCTCATTCAATTAATTCAGTTCTCACTTTGCAGCAAGGCAAAAATACATAAAACTCAAAACACCTTCATTAAAAATTACAAAATACAGAAAAATATAA